ACTACTCCCTTTTGTGATACATTTCCTCTCCTAACACTGTTTAYAGTTGTAYACACCAATAAGAATTTATGAGATGGAGGAAAACCCAAAATTATAATTCTGATCCCCATAAGCTATTCCGCGTGGACCCATTCCAACGAAAAATGCTTGAATCCAATACTACCTGTTATTCAAGTTATTTTCTACACATTAATTATCTTGGTCTACTGTTACTTTAGCATCACTTTCAACTTTCAATAATAGACATTTCCTTGTGGACTCATCTGAAGTTAAAATAATTGATTTGAGTGTAGTCCTGCATATAAATGTCTGTTTGGTTTGTGCCTATGGTTGGAATCAGAATCCCCACAATCAAAAGTAGAATCACCTATTCTTGAAGCTTGTTTGGTTCTACTAAGAATCAGAATTGGATTATTGTTTGGTTCAACTAGAAATAGGATTTGGAGTCAGTCAAAATTTATAATTTTCCCCTTATTATTATTATTATTATTATTATTAGAAGAAGAAGAAGAAAAAGAAGAAGAAGAAGAAGAACATGATGATGATGATGAAGGGAAGAAAGAAGAGAAGGGAGGGGGAAGAGGGAGAGAAAGAAGAGAAAAAAGGGGAGAAGAGAAAGAAAATGAAGATGAGAGGGATATAGGGGAAGGACAACTAACTATACTGGTGTATCTTTGTAGGAGACGGTGGTCATTTGTAGCTATTAAGGATATGAATTGGGTTTGTTATGTTGTGATAGAGTTTCAGATGGATTGAGATAGACCACATAGAGTCCTAGGTAGAGTCTAAGAGTTTAAGTATGAGTTTGAATAGGTTTGGTCTRTTTTAGTCTATAAATATGATGTTATTACTATATTCAAACAATGCAATGTTTTATTGGTTTTCTCTGAAGTCTAACATGGTATCAGATCCAAAGGTCTGAACCTAGAGGCCTCCCACCATGCATCCTATGTTTTCGGCGGGTGGTCGGAATCTTAGCCACCCTTCAGGTCTACTCTCTCTGTTTACTTGTTATGTTTCCCATTCAGTCACATTTTTTAGTTTCATTTGTTCTTAATATTGTTGTTATCCTTATTCTTCTAGTTCWATTTTTAGTTTTACTTTCAGTTTCTCCCTTCTTTCTATTTATAGACTTTAAAGACAAACTCACTTATTAGATTTCAAGCCCTTATTCCATCATAACTTTAGATCCTATTGGTTCAGACACCTTCTGCATCTGACATTACCCTTATCGACTCTTTGCTATTGGGATCTTCAATCATATCATCCTCAAAAATAGATTTACCCCTTCCCTACCTTTTCTTACGCTCTTACTGCTTCATAGATGATTCATCCTCGTGTATATACCTCTTATTTACTCTCTTATTAGACTTCTTTCTATACAATTTACCTTCTTTACCTCTCTCTTCTCTCTCTTATACTTGTCTACCTCTCTATTTCTATTCGTACATGGCCATTGTTGGCTCATTTTAGATAGATTCCAAAAGCCAACCTGTTGAGGCATCTTAGTTGACCCAATGAAGTCTATTGGTAGCTTGTTTTGGCTTAACTTCAATCTGGCTTGTATTGGCCCAATTTCATTCCAATACAAGCCCATATAGGCTCTTTTTATTTTGAAGAAGCAACAGGTTCTTGTCATTATGATATGCGATTGTCATAACCAGTCATTCATTACTTGCCACACCATTTTCACAACTGGACCGCTTTCTACATTGTCATCACTACAACTTTAAGTTTTGAATGTATGCACATCGCTARCTCCTTACCACATCATATCATAGCTGGGAGATGCAAACACATCATCATCATTGTAGCAAGGTTGAAATAATATTGTATTTTAAACATCATTTGAATTACATCAGGACTTGAAGTGTTGGAAGCCATCATCATCAACTTACAATTGTTTTTGGTCAAACACATGATGATCATTGATCCCCATGTGTTTGAGGGGGCATATTAAGGATATGGRTTGGGTTTGTTATGTTATGATAGAGTTTGAGATGGATTGAGATAGACTACATAGAGTCCTATGTAGAGTCTAAGAGTTTGAATAATTTTGGTATATTTTAGTTTATAAATATGATGTAATTACTATGTTCAAACAATGCAATATTTTATTGGTCTTCTCTAAAATCTATTAATAACTAAGTTGGAGGGAGGAAGGCCTGTGAAATGTTAACACCTTTGGTTGAATAGGAAATGGGGATCTTTTTGTAAAAAAATAATTAAATAATATATTAAATTCACTATTARCTTGCTATTGTGATTGTGAACAACTTTCTTCTTCCCTTGAGTTATTCCAAAAGATGGCAATAAGGAATGTGGTTTCATTGAATATTTTAATAGTTGGGTGAGTTATTCCATAAGAGCAATATTTCTATGTGGAATACTATGATGGTTGTGCATGTCGAGAGCAAAAATTCCCAAAATGCAGTTGCCACATTCTGTGAATTGCTTCAAATAGAAGTTGAACCTGACCATATAACAATATTGACCTTGATCTCAGTGCGTCTTCAATTAAGAAGTCATAACCTCTCATAATGCATAATTGCTTATATATTTTCAAGGGTTTTGAAACATACTCATTTACAACACCCTTATAGATTTAAATTCCAGATGTAGAAACACCGTTATTGCAAGAAAGTTGTTTGATTTTTAGGCTATGAATCATGCCATATCTTGGAGTGTAATGATCAATGCATATGGGATGCATGGTAATGGTGAAGTTGCACTTTCTCTTTTCTCACAGATGAAGAACTCTAGAGTTGGACCTGATGACATTATTTTTGTTAGTTTGCAGCCATGCAAGTTTATTTGAAAACGGTCGGATGCTTTTCAATTATATTGCAGAACATGACATGCAGCCAGGGGTGGAGCACTACTCTTGCTTGGATAACCTTCTTGGCCGAACAGGTCATTTGCATGAGGCATTTTCCCTTGTCAAGAGTTCCATTTAAACCTTCTACAAGCTTGCTTGAATCTTTATTGGGTGCTTGTTGCATCCATTAGTAATTATAATTTTTCAAAAACAAAAGATCTTTAACCATCTAATTACATGTTGCATGGTTCTTACCTTAAAAACATGCAACAACCATGGTTTTTCATGTTGTTTTAAGAAGAAATGTGGCAACTCAGATGGTGTCACCCAATCATCACCAAAAGGGTGGTCCTCTWTCTCTCTTTTGCTATGTATAGCAAGAAATATGTGAAAATTTCCAAGGAGTTTTAAGGTGGCCACACAAACATAAAAAGTGAATTTTGCAACTTACATTGTTTTGTGTTCCCACTTGATTAAGTGATAGCAAGAATTAATTATATGCATCCGTGTCAAATAAAAGCTTTTGCAATTCACCAACACTATAGAAAATCAATCACAAAACAATAGGATGAGATCATAATTACCACCTAAAAATACATAATAGAATGAGAATGAAATGGCTACAGATTCAACCTCAAGAATTTATTAATACACTCCTTAAACCACTATAAAGAATAAATAATCATAACAGTCTACTCCAAGCACATAAAGGCCTAAAACCACTTGTAGGGGCCCATTGCAACCATGTTACATTTTTTCATCCTATTTTCAAGATTATTTTGTGTTATTTTAGTGTCTTTATAGGTTATTCAATAATCTATCCAATAAGGCCTAAAACCTTATGTTTAAAGACCCTCCACTCTCCTGGAATGACCAGCATATAGCAAAAGGGAGTACTTTCTGATTTCCAAAAGATTGCCCTTTACACTAAAACCTTTCACCTACCTACAAGATAAAAGCATATGTAATATTCTAGGATCACCCAAACCCTACTAAGAAGACTTAGAATGTACAACCATGCACCCCAAGATGGACCATTTTGTATGAATATGTGGTTGATTGACTTCCCTGCTTGGTTGCATAGCAAACAAACATAATCAATAGCCATCCCTCTATGAATGAGATGGTCAATCATTAGAATCCTGCCAGAAATCACAGTCCACACGAAATTCCTTTATGAATGGGAAGAAAGATCTATATTGAGAATGACAAACTTATTATTAAAAATCCATAAAATATTTATTTGCATTGGCTTTTTTTTTCTCTCTCTAGTGATTGAATGCCTATGATGTCTCTCAGATTTTTGTTTCCTTCTTATTACCTATCAAACCAAATATAACTTAAAGTGCATCAAGAAGAGTAATTGCTTCATATTCATGACATGAATCATCTAAATTTAGCTTTATGAACAAAAAAGT